CTGGCTGAGGAGCTGCTGACAGCTGATGGCTGAGGGCGGGGAGGAAATTTTCTTTGTGGATGTGGCCCCTGGTGGCTCGACTGTGCTCCAGTGGAGCCCCATACCCATCATGCGTGCGAAGCAGAGACCGGACTCAGTGGGGTATTAGTTTTTTTTTTTTTTTTTTTTAAGGACTTGGAATTTGGAGGTGGTAGGGGTGAATCTGGGAATAGTTAAGGGGAGAATGGGGATCATATTGTATACACGTATGAAATTCTCAAAAATTAGTAAAATTGTTTTACTTATTTTTTAAAATTTGATGATGGATATGATAGCACATGCTTTTAATCTCAGCACTTGGAAGGTAGAGGCATGCAGATCTCTGAATTCAAGACCAGCTTGGTCTACATAGGGAGCTCCTAAACAGAACAGCCAGGGCTATAGACAGAGAAACCCTGTCTCAAAAAAAAAAAAAAAAAAAAAGAATTTGGAGAAAGTTTCCTTATTGTTAGGAACTTAGAAAAGCTTACCAGTCCATGTACTAGAGCTCTCAAAGCAGAGCAAGTTACCTGTGTCCAGACTCTAGGGCAGAGATGAGCATGGTAAGGTGGAAGGCCTGGGAAGCCTGGGGTGACTGGACCACAGACAGGGAGGAGAGACGCTGGGAGCCAGAGAGGGAACGCTGGGAATACCCTCTTACTCTTGGGGACCGTGCCCGTAATCCTGAGACTCAGCCAAGAGTGTGAGGCTCTAAGGTGACCCTTCAGACATGTCATAGCTAATATCGAGCAGTCCTCACAGTCTGCTGATTCAGAAGTCTCATTTTTTATTGTTGTTTGGTTTTTGTTTCTGAGGTAGGGTCTCTCTGTGTTATCCAGGATGGTTTCAAACTCCAGGGCTCCAGGGATTCATCTCTCCTCAAGGTCCTGAACAGTGGGAATTGCAAACCCTGACTGACTGCTCCTGCTCTTTAACTGAAGACAGTGAGGCTCAAGAGATGGTGGGATTATTGAGGACCAGCCAGCTGATGAATGATAGAGACAGGATTTGTAACAAGATCGGTCTAACCCTACATCCTAAGATTTTAGATTTTTGACCAGTGTTCGTGTCATGGAACACTGGTACCTTTTACATGAAGATCAAAAGATAGAGGTAAAGAAGAGCTAAGGCAAACCATTCATTTGTTCAGGCACTTGAGATAGATTTATGAACAAGATTGGAGCTTACTTTCTAGCAGAGTCAGATAGGCAGATTTACCAAATAATTTGTTTGAAAGGGAATAACCTATGAAAAAGTAAAAGGAAGAACAGTATAGAAATTGGCAGTGTTAAGGAGCATCTCAGACAGGAGGTGGGAACATGACAGGTATATTCAAGGAATACAAGTTGACTCTGACTGGAGCTAAAAGGAAGAGCCCCGCCCATCAACACCTGTGGCAGGTGGGAGAGCTGGTCCTGTGGTCGTAAATGTGGGAGGCCCATCCCCGACTCTCAGGCTGCAGCACTCGGGAGAGCAGGCCCTGCACCTCACCAGGGCAGCACAACAGGGCCAACCCTGTTAGTGCAGGTGTGGGTGAGCCAGCCCCGAAACTGTGAGCATGGGAGAGCTGTGCCTGTTACCCATCTGAATTGTGGTGGCATGGGCATGGGAGAACTGCCCTCCTCCCGCCCCCACACACACAGCCCATCAACATCTGGGGCAGGTGGTAGAGCTGGCCCTGTGGTCATAAGAACAGGAGAACCATCCCTGACCCCCACCAGCTGCAACACTCAGGAGAGCAGGCCCTGCATCTTGCCAGGGCGGCACAGTAGAACCAACCTTGTTTGCTCAGGTGTGGGTGAGCCATTCCCTAAGTTGTAAGCATGGGGGAGCTGTCCCCATTTCACATCTGGCGGACCAACCCTACATCTGCCCAGGCCCAGACCCAAGGATATGGCTTGGCCCACTCTATCATCCACCCCATCTATGATCTGCTGGAGCATGTGAAGGGACCTGACCTGCAGACCCAAAGCTGCAGGATCTCCACAACACAGGACAGCAGCAGGATGTGCAGGAGGAGTCCTAGCGAGGCCCATCATCGAGAAGGTAGTAGAAACCAGAGGCCTTGAACCAGACCAATGACTCTGCACTGAACACTTGCAATTAAAGATACATGGACAAAGGGGTTCATGACATGACTCACTGTCACATGGCAGCTTCCATGATGACATTTTTAAGTTTTTCCCTTACTTTTTTATTTTATTTTTTTTCCCTTTTTTAAATTTTGTCTTATTTGGCGGTGTGCAGAGACAGCAGGCAGATGAGAAGAGACAGGGAAATAAATGATACCAAGATATATGATGTAAAAGAACATAGAATAAATAAATTTTAAAAAGAAAATAGATTTATTTTATACAATTAAGAAAAGGAAGAAAGGAAGAAAGGAGGAAAGGAAGAAAGGAAGGAAGGAAGGAAGGAAGGAAGGAAGGAAGGAAGAAAGAAAGAAAGAAAGAAAGAAAGAAAGAAAGAAAGAAAGAAAGAA